GGCTAAGATTGTATTATTTTGTCATTTATTTGTAATGCGATTTAGTAGTTTTGGGTAAGATTTATCTTGGTGATTAAAAGAGAATTGGAATTTTTTGGGGTGCTATATTAAGGTTTTACTTGAAATGTATGCCTTCAAGAGGACAAACAGTACTTACTTTGTTTTGTAGCCGCTGGGAACACGTACAAGGCCAATCCAAGAAGTATAACCGTCCCGGAAAAATAGTTCACGGGAAGTAGTAAATGTTTCCCTATAATATAAAACAGAAGCGCCAATGAAATCCTTTTCATTAGATTAGCCATGGAATGTGCGACGACTGATATATATTTGAGTATGATACACGTTGAGATAACGGTGTAAGTCACGTGAAGTATCGCCGAAACGAGACAGGGCTGAAGCAGTCCCGCAGCTAATAATGTAGGAAACATGTCTGGTGCCGCTACGGCTAGGAAAATTTCCATGAAGAGAAGCAGGAAAGCAGCCCATGTGCTCATTTTCGCTAAAGTCTGGACCTGTACCAAAGGTGTTTTGTTTGCCATACTTTTCAGTGTAACGTTACGCAATCCAAACAAAATATTTGATAAAAAGGCAAGCGTGAGTCCTAGTGTTTCTCCCATCCTGTACTGTGGTCTCCACACAAACCCGATAGACCCTATGACAACTAAGGGCAATGCTATTATCGTATTCGTCTCCAACTTTTTCCCGCTTAAAATGCTGGACAGCACCGCTGTAGTGATGGGCTCAAACGCCTTCACCGTAAACGCGCTGGACGCGTCACAAAACGCCAAGCTAGCGTTCGTACACATCGTGGCCGCCATGTGGCTTACAGACAGGGTGACAAGGGACAAATCAGTGTTTGGAAGTCTCGAGCTCTCACAGGGTTCCTCTTGTCCCTGTGTTACACCATTGGTCACTTTTTCCACCCCTGTGTCCGAGTGGGGGTCGGCGCTCATGCTTTCCTTGGCGTCCAGCCCCATCCAGGTAAGAAGACGCCGGCTGCATAGTCTGGGAAGCAGAAGGAGAACACAGGCTCCGACAACAATTTGACAAAGGCTTAAAATTACCACTGCGTACCACAAAGCTTTCTTCTTCTCGGTCGTCTCTTGTTGTTCCTGAGGTATGTTCCCCCAGGTTCGAAGCGCTTTCCGGGCGAAGTAGTGAGCGTAGAACGAAAACAGAGTCCAGGCTAGGAAAGCCACGAAGCCTCTCACAGCCCGGCTCATGGTGGTGGAGGACGATTGTATCGCAGATATGACCTAAAATAAAAAAATATATATATATTACTAAAGCATGAGATTTAACAGAAAGAAAGTTGACGTGCTTTTTAAAACGGTAGTCCAAATATGAGATACCAGTGTCGAAATGGTCAGTAACTCAGCAGTGAACTAATTGAGAAAGTCGAACTTAAACGATTTGAATTTACACGGTAGGCATGTGACGTTACAATACGATTGCATTTTATACTGGGTATCAGCCTAACCCTTCCGTCCATCTATCTATCTATCTATCTATCTATCTATTGTGCAGCTGAAAGAAGTCTCCTCGAACTTCAAAATCACAGAATTCAGTAAATTACATTTTCATTATTAACTAATAATATTTAACTAACAATAGTATGCTTATATAGACTTTGCCAATTGAATATTGCAATTTAATTGCCCAGCGAAGAATTTCATGGAAAAATATAGTCCAAATAGTGGCAGAGAGTCCCCCATGGTAGAGGGTCCGCTTCCCTTTCATTTGTACAGGTACCCCTCTCTCTAGATTTTGACTCATTTAGGTCAGGCTAACCCTAACCATAATAACTAAATGGAGGGTGGAGTTTCTGTTACACGGATCATCAGCTTCGTTACACCGGTGTCACAGCAATGGCAGTCCTAGGAATGGAAGTCCAGTGTCCCATATGATTAGTACAGGTTAGGGTTAGTCGGAGTATTGGGGTTAGTACAGGTGTAACAGGAGTGGTAGTCAGCTAGGCACCGTAGTCCGTTCCCGATTACTTTGTAAAGGTGACATTCGTCGCATATACTCACACCAATAATCTGACTAACATTCACCAGTACCAATCATATGCAACCCCGGACTTCTGTTCCAAGAACTACCATTCCTGTCACACCGGTATGTGGAATGAATGTCACCTGTGCGAAGTACAGACTGGGAACGGACTGTGAACTTTCCTAGCAGCTACCATTCCTGCCAACCGGCGATAAGAAACCGAGGTCCATGTACCAGCCTGCTCTCCATTTGATCCACACAGTTTAGGGTGACCTTGACATTATGCCCCCCCCCTTCCAATTGATTTATCCGTAGTCTTTCTCCGTAATTGTGGCAGCCTACAAACCATGCGCCGCCTCAGGGGAGGCTATCTGCATTACTTTACGCTACAGGCATAGACAGTATGTGCAAGTGACGGAATTCAAAACCTACTGCATAGATAGCATTCATAGTTTAGCTGCGATTTACAGCCTATAATATAAAACCACGATCTTTATTTATCAAGCATCTTCAACCACCATACTGTTTCGACGGTTTACAAGTAAAATATAAATAATTAAAATCATGGAGGTATTTATAAAGTTAATGTTTCCTAGGTGAATAAAAGAAATCGATGTCTAATGTGAAAAAACCACGACGTTGACGTCGGCACTCTCATCTATATAGAACTGTCGTGTGTGTACGTGTGTACTGCCCCCTCCCCCTCCCGTCATCTCGTGATGTGAATATCAACACCTCATCTTACCGTACTGGTTAAGGTAGTAATTAACAGTAAATTGTCAAAATTTGGGTGTTTTTCTGAATTTGTCAGTATTAGATAGATGAAATATCAACTACATATCAGCCTATCTTAAAATAATGGAAGTTTACAAATAAACCCGTAATTTTAGCCTAATTGCTGATTTACCCCTGTGGTAGCGTGTCTGAGTTTTAAAGTACCGTAGGTCACACTTGTCCATATATGTGTTTGATTGGCAGCTCCACTGTGCAGCTGTATATTTCCCGTACTAGATTGCTGCTAAGCCTTTCACATTCTGTGAGTAACGTCGCGCTTTCACTTGCCAAGCAATACTTTTCATTTTGAATTTATCAGTGAACTTAATTCTGACTATCTATTAAAGTTTTAAAAAGCAGACATATAGATGAGACATATATGGGCAAAGGCACTCCCCCTAGGTGTCACGTGGTGAAGAAGGCTGACGTCACGACTAACATGGTGGCTGCTGTCAATGCATGGAGGGGGCCTCCGGTTGAAAAAGTTCAATAATAATGTTGAAAATGGATGAAAGACATAGTGACAGTTACATAGGCAGTGAGTAGAGGGCTGAACCAGTATAAATAACTAAATTTCTCAGCTTGCCAATGCAGCTCACTGATTATATAACGTTGGAATCTCCGGGGAGCACTAAAAGGCTGATTTCTCCGCTCCAGTTTATGGCTTCAAGAGAACGATTTAGACCAGTGTCAAAATTAACATCAGCTCCGTTTTCAACTTAGGCATGCTTTAGTTAGGCTAGGGGGTCTCGTTGAACTGGAAACCAAGTTTATTTTGATATTTCTGCTAATTTAACACATATCGCTAATTTGAGGCGCATTCTTGTTGATCCCTATGAGGGCTCACGAGTCAAGCTGTCTACACATGTCCATTTGTAGTGGACTTCTAGTTTTTAAGGTGTAAAGATCATGTTGAGCACACCTATTAAGCATTATATCTCATTACGTAACGATTACATAATAAAATAAGGATATGAAATGAAGAGCTGTTGAAATAAGTTTTCTATTGATATGTAACATGTTGGTATATCTTGGCCGGTTTAGAAGATAGCTACCCCTGTTATCTACATCCGATAAATCTTTTCCTATGAAGCTCATTGTACATTACGATACCATCAATGTAATAATACTACTAAAGGTCACAGTGCAAATTAAATACAGTACATAGTGTGAAAGTTTACTAAATAAACTGTCAAAGGAACGGCCCACCCATTTTCATGGTTTGGTGTACATTTTTTCGACTTGGTTTTGTACATTACTAATCATAAGTTACATTAATTGACTTTCATTAAGGAAAGCTTAAAGATTTATGCTCGCTTGTAACATGTCAAACCTTTTATAATTCATACCATGAGATGCAATACAACAAACTTTTAATCGTTAACATGAAAGATTTTATTTTCTGCATTCGAAGACGACTACAGACAGATGAATGTATCGTATAAAAACTTGTCCACTTACCGCTAAAATGTAATATATTGGTAAAAAAAAGTATATTAAAAAACTAATGGGCGAGTTTAAGTATTACTCCGTGCAAAATCAAAACGGAGACGTGCAATGATAGTTTTTGTTACAGTGAGATTATAAGTACGCTGAAGTTCCCATTGGTTAACAAGGGGGGGGGGTCAGCAGAAGTAACAATCCAACCCTAGGGGAACGCTTGAATGGCGTCAGTTTGGTGACATCAGTAAAGTGATATTACTTTAAAAAGCATTTCGGTACTCGACATTTTGTTTGCTGGTGACCACTCACCAATGGAGATCCTTCTAACCAGTGTCCTTCTCAGTTGATCTACTGGTCAGTTTGGTGACCACTGCCCAGTCGCTGTCTTGGGTTGGTCAGTCCAGCTCAGGTTTTAAATGACACTTAAACGTCCTTGCCCTGTAAACGCATGACAAACGTTTTCTTCCTACCTGGTTGAAAAAAAAGCAATACATGAATACCACGACCTACTTGTATAGTGTGGTCCAGATATTTACTCTTTATCGGAGACAGTGCTCAGCTGACGACTTTTCTATATGTTTAATGGAAAGAAATCGTCATACACCTATTGACATATATACATATGCATTTTAACATGTCTGCCTTTCCCATACGACGCGAGAAGCCGTTATGTTTTTACCACCATTATAATAAAATGAGCTTGCTTAACCCAATGCACTACATCATAGATTCACTATATTATGCATTCAAGACATTTACTGGTGCTGTATGCATAATATAAAAATGCTCAGGGATAAGTTATGAAGTAATAATATAATTTTAGGGTATCAGATTCTATAGCAACATGAAGAATAAAATACGCGCCCCTACGCTCACGCCCAGGTATGCACACACACACACACACACACAAACACAAACACACACACACACACGTGCAATGAACACATAGCACTTTGATATCCAACTGTTGGGTTTAAGGCATTGGTAAGCACACCCATGTACTAGCTAAGCCTGAGTCCATGTGTTTTTCTACGAAAGAACGTGTTTTCCTCGGCGCTGGACCTGTCACCTACCCACAGGAGTACACGTGTAATGTTGTTGTCATCTCTTCAGCTACTCGCACTAGTTCAACCCAATTATCGTTTTGCCTAGACACGCTGCACCCGACATTAATAAACATGTAATAACTTCTCTAATTGCGCTTCCTTGTCTACGGGCGTTCAAACTATGTCCTGTGGGAGAGAACCTCCTAAACCTCCCTCGTTCACTGGGCATTGCCATTAACAGCGGCTGGGACAGCTCCACGCACCAGACGTGGGTTATACTAGTACATGTATCTCGTACAAAATCTCCCGTCCGGTGACGTACAGTTATCTTGAGAGTTGGTT